CTGAGAACAAATCTGTTTTTCTAGATTTGACAATTTGTTCGTTGGGTCTTTGATTTGAGAAGGTGAGTATTGGACGAAAGGTAGCCTGTAGCCAGCAATGGTCTCCAGGATGACCGGATTAACTGTGATTTGCCTCCAATTAAAAAGAAAATTGACTAATCTGCCACCAAAATTTACGTCCTTTTCTATCGCCTCTTCGATCGGGATCTGGGGCGATAATATGGCCGACGGTAGCTGTTTGATGCCCCTGTTCCTCTCGGCGCCGGTCTCGATTGTCGCACAGGGGCTCGGGCGTTTCCCGAAAAACCAGAAGCAACCTGGATTGGTTGTTTAATTGGTTGTTGAATTCTTCTGGTTATTGGAAAAGAGGGTTTTACGATGTCCTTTGAAGACTTTTCCATTGAAGCTGTTCTTTTAATTGATTCACCAAAAGAGGCCCCAAATAATAATTCATCTACCGGAATAGTATCCGCCGTATTTTTTGCGTTTAAATTGAGGGCAGGGGTAATTAGAGCTCTCCTATTTAGAGAGATACGGTAAAAAAGGTCAGCAAGAATTCTAGATCCTTCGTTGACCTTAACGATCGCTGCACGCGCTCCCGAGGTCAGAGAGTTCTGAATTTCCGATTGCAGGAAATCAGATATGGCTTCCCCCAAAGCGCATAAGGCTACGCCTGCTTGATCCTGGATCTTTCTGGCGTAGTCGTCTCTCTTGACAGTGAGATTATTTTTAAGAGCCACCTTGCACTCTTGATTAAGAGTGGGGGCCTTGAGAAACGCTACTGACTCCGGGGGAGCATACTTTTTATTTAAAAGTTCGCGCTGATCCGAAGTGAGGCCTTTGCGTGTTAGCTCACGCCACTTTGAAGTTACCAAATCATTCCATGATGGTGTCTCCTCCCCCTCTAGGTCTGGACCAAAAAGGTGTTTGGCAAGAGAGTCGTCTACTGAGACAGTATCTGCCGGTAGGGGGCCTTCGACAAAAGTAACCTCTTTTGGCTTGCCGCAGGATGAAACTTGCTCACCTTCCATTCCCTTATTTATTGCTGCAAAAATATACCCATGTTCCCAATGAGTTTAGGAGGAAAAAGGTAGTGCCGTCATGCCGCCTGCATTATTCAAATGCAGAACCAGCAATATCAAACACACCTGATGGTTCTAGGTCTGTTGGCCCCTCCTGACTCGCAGGGGGTACCCCAGCCGAAATCGAATCAGATCTGTTGTGGGAGGTAGAAACTGACTCGATACAAGACTCTAGATCCTCCTGAAGGGCAAATACTGACACCGGTGGAGAACGGGACGGGCGGTCATGAACCCTAGCCTCGCTATGTGAAAGCATATCAATCAATCGAGACATCTTAGTTTCCAAATCGGTCAGACGATCCGAAGATGACGGTCTTCTTCGCTTTCTAGATTTATGCGAAGACTTACCCATACCTGAAATTGCTCAAAATAATCGTTAAAAACTAAAAAAAAAAATAGGGTACGTGTTGAGGATATACACAACAGAAAAACAATGAAGGCGATAGGTGCAGATAGCCGCACCTAAGTGTAGGCAGGCGGCGCTCGATTCAAATTTTTGCCCTAGCTTTAAAATTCTGTTGAGGATAGCGCAGCGGAGAGCGCTACTACTACAATTATTCATCCATCCGGACGAGACTTTGCATAATCATATTCATAATTTTATAACATGAAACAAATGATTATACGTCACATCTACAATATACACCATTTTTCTTGGATATATCTTTTAGTAAATTAAAATCGTCAAAATCAAGACTGCCATTATCATCATACTCATTTCTATCATGTCACCTTCTGGGGGAAAATAAATTTAAAAAATATAAACAATTATAATATTCATGAAAAAAGAAATTGTTTGGTTTTGCTGTGATCGTTATATAGTATATTTTTAATAAATTAAACGCGATTTGAAAAATATGAAAAATTAATTATATACCTATACTAAAATTAACAATAATACCAATAAAACTTACAACATTTTTTTCAGCTTAATTGGCTTGTCAAATGATGTTCATCTTTAACATGATCATTGAAATGCGTTCTAATAGCAACAGATGTGCTTCTGTGACTAGTATTACATTTAACTTCAATCATGACTTTTGGTATGTATCCCCTAGTAAATAATCAACTCTGAAATGTATGTTTTTTAATTGTTCTTTAGAACGCTTGAATGCGAGCGTAAATAATCTATAAATCTATATATCTACTAAATTTTTAGATAAAAATAAAACGTCTCATCACAAATAATACATTTCACGTAAATGAGTAAAAATATGAATGTTTTTCTTTGAGACTAAAATTTTCGATGTATTTTTATATGTAAAGATTATAAGGTGGACATCTTTTTAACAATACGTAACAATCTTTTAGTGACATCAACGTTGTGACAGTTTTAAGTGATGAAATGCGATCTGATGAACCAACTGAGTCATGTGTTTCTTGCGTATTTTTTAATTTATCCGAGTGTGTCTTTCTTATATGAACATCCAGATACTTCTGAATAGAAAAAGATAAATTTTCGTGACAAATATTACACTCCACCGCAAAATCATTTCGTTGTGTCCAATATTTTCGTTCCAATTTTGAAGGATATGATTCTTCCGTTGTTCTTTGGAATACGAATTCAAGTGATTTTCTAAATCTTCCGATTTAGATGTAGACAGAAATTTTGCATGACAGATAATACAATGTAAAAATAATTGGTCTGAATACTTGAAATCCATCCATGGGCATTTTTTTAGTTTTTTCTCTTCTTCGTATTCCAAATTTTTTTATGGAGTTTTCTATGTGATGTTTGAATCTTGTATCATTATATAATTATATTTCATTTCACAAAACTTGCACTGTGCTCTAAAATCCGTCAACTTTATATAATAATCCCATATATGTTTTTTAGTTGCAATATCTAGTGGCATAAAAGTTATGTTTGTTTCAAGTGATGAAACACGTTCTGACGAATCAACAGGATCATGTGTTTCTTGCATATTTTTAAATTTGTCCAAATGTGTCTTTCTTATATGAGAATCGAGATATTTTCGAATAGCAAAAGGTAAGTTAGTCGTGACAAATATTACACTCCACCACAAATCATCATGTTGTGTCCAATATTTTCATGTCCAACTATAAAATATATGATTCTTTTGTTCTTCTTCAGAATGCGTTTTTAAGTGATCTTCTAAATCTTCAGATTTAGTTGTGGATAGAATATCTGCATCACAGATAATATAATGTAAAAGTAATTGATCTGAATGCTTGAAATACATCCATGGCCATTTACTTAGTTTTCTCTCTTTTTCGTATTCCCGAATTTTTTTATGGTGTTTTTTTACATGTTTTCTAATTTGTCTATCATGTATATAATTATATTTAATTTCACAATACTTGCATTGTGCTTTAAAATCCGTCAGCTTTATATAATATTCCCATATGTGTTTCTTAACTGCAATATCTGTGTTACGGCTTGTATGCCAAATTCATAAATTCAAAATCTAAACACCGGTATGGCCTTCACATTTTCGAGGCTCATGAGTCGATTCGTGATCTATTGTTCGATCCGCGCATACGCAGATCGCGACTCTTCGCAGCGAGCGTTATCGTGACTGTCTCGAAGGAAAGTCAGTCCGTTTATAGATCACTGTGAGAACGGATGTAATCTTTCGCATTGTCGCATCCGAATGTAACTATTGTATAACGCTCCCGAGAGCTAACGACGGATTAATTGTTATCTTGTAAACCATAGTGAAACTTCATTAAATATATTGTTGGTTTTTTTGTAATTTAAATATTGAGTCATTGCTTAAAACCATTTTGCATCATAACACGCGTACATTCCTAACGCCCGCGCCGGTGAAAAATAAATAGTTTGAATGGAACGATAAAGATCGGAGGTGTCGCTTCAATCTGGCATAAATGTTATGTTTGTTTTAAATGATAAAACACGTTCTGACGAATCAACTGGGTCATGTGTTTCTTGCATATTTTTTAATTTGTCCAAATGTTCTTTTCTTATATGAAAATCGAGATCCTTTAGAATATTAAGAAATATGTTGTTGTTGCAAATATTACACTCCACCACAAAATCATTTCGTTGTGTCCAATATTTCCTTTTCCAATTTTGAATGATATGATTCTTCCGTTGTTCTTTAAAATGCGAATTCAAGTAATCTTCTGAATCTTCAGCTTTAGATGTAGACAGAAATTTTGCATGACAGATAATGCATTGTGAAAATAATTGATTTGAATACTTGAAATACATCCATGGCCCTTTCATTAATTTTTTCTCTTCTTCGTATTCCAAAATTTTTTTATGGTCTTTTTCAATGTGACGTTTAAAGTTTCTGTCTTTTATATAATTATATTTAATGTTACAATACTTGCACTGTGCTTTAAAATTTTTCAGCTTTATATAGTATTTCCATATATCTTTTTAGTTGCAGTATCTAGTGGCATAAAAGTTACGTTTGTTTCAAATGATGAAACACTTTCTGACGAATCAATTGGATTATGTGTTTCTTGCATATTTTTCAATTTGTCCGAATGTGTCTTTCTTATATGCGAATCCAGACAATGGTGAATATAAAGATTTAACTTAACGTGACAAACATTACATTCCACCACAAAATCA